CTGCACAGAAAACTATAAAATATTGAGAAAAACAAAAGAAGACCTAAAGATATACATGGATCCTTTATGTCCATGGATCAGAGGATCGAATATTATAAAGATGTCACTTCTCAAATTGACCTATATGAGTATATTCTCTATAATCCCAATTAGAATCTCAGCAGATTGTGTATGTGTGAATATTAATACACCGATCTAAAGTTTATATAGAAATGCAGAAGGTCAAGTGTACCTCGGGCAATCTTGAGGAAAACAAAGCTGGAAGACATATAGTACCATATATCAAGTCTTATTATAAACCTGTAATAATTAAGACAGTCTAGAATTGGTGCAAGGATAGACAAATAGACCCATGGAACAGGACAGAGCTCAGAAACAGACTCATACATATATGGTTAATTGATTTCCTGAAAAGGCTATCAATAAATGTTATTGAGTCAACTAGATATTTGTATGAGAAAAGATAAATATGGAGTCCACCCTCACACCATCTTCAAATGATTAATTTAATATTGATTACAGATCTACAAGTGAAAAGTTAAAGTGCTAAGAAGTAGAATGCCAACAGTAGAAGAATAAAATGTTTCTTCCTCTCTTTCCCCACCAAGATTCCTCCTACTTCATCTTTCTGTGGCTGATTGAATTTACAGTGTGTAGTGCTGCATCAATACTCCTGGTCAGTGATGTTCAAATTTCTTTTTTCCAGGGAAATTTGGCACTGGGATTCAGTCCTATTTCTCCTTCTTGCGGTTCCTAGTGCTGCTGAATTTGGTGATATTTCTGATCATCTTTATGTTCGTTTTACTGCCCGTTTTGCTCACCAAATACAAGATCACCAATAGCAGCTTTGTGCTCATTCCATTCAAAGACGTGGGTGAGTCTGAGGCCTGGTTTTCCATGATGAGTGTTCTTTTCACTGCGTACCTAGCTAAAGTGCTTCCTTTGCTAGGAATCTTTATTCTAAGTCTAAGGTGGCTGTATTAGTCAGGATGGGTGAGGTTATGCTGCAGAAATGAATGACCCCATAACTCTCAGTGCCTAACAACCACAAAGATTTATTTCTCACTCACAGTCCATGTCCAGCGTGGGTTGGTGGTCTTCACTTTGGAGCCCAGGCTGGTGGAGCAGCCTCTCCCTGGACCTCTGATAGTAACTATGGCCGAGGGGAAAAAAGCCATGGCAAACACATGTTAGCTCCTGAAACTTCTGCCTGGAGATGGCATTTTTTTTTTT